GGGGAGGCTTTTCTTGTAACTCCTTCAGTATTGATTTGCTGTATCTGTAACCAGGTGCCAGTCCAGCATCAAACTCACATTCATTCCATCTCAATATCTCGGGCAGAGAAGAAAGGCCTTTTGCGAACTGTAATCCCACGCCTGTTCTTGGCAGGGGCTTCCCTGAAAGCAGGGAGACTGGCTTCTGAGCAGACAGGTGGAGGCTGGCACTGCCAGGGGTGTGCAAGCCAATGGTTAGAGTGGCATAGGGGCTGCTCCATTCCCAGACCAGCTTGATACCGGATGGCCGCAGTGAGATCTGGCCTCCCCACATTCCATTCCCTAACTGGAGAAGATGGGACGTAACTCAGCTGCCACGTGTTCTTGTGCGCACGTGCGTCCTTGCCCTTGACTTAATCCAGGATACCTTTCTTGCGCTGACCAGCGTGGGGGCTGAGCCACTGGTCAAAGCGGTAAGCCGTGGTCTGTTTCAAGGCGGCTTCCGAGTCTGCCGGTTTTGCTCTGCATGCGCGCACGTTGCGTGGCAGTTGCTATCGTGTGGGTTGCGGACACTGGCTTTTAGGAGCTCCCGCTGCCTTCCCCTAGGTTTTGGGGGCGCCCATCATCTTCCACTATCAGCCCTGCTGGGTCGAGGGGTCACAGCTGGGTTCTGGGGCACCCGGGCTGCCCCAGCCTGACCCCCTCCCAGAGGAAACAGCCCAGAGCAATTCTGTCCGGAGCTGGGCCTTCACCAGCTGGATGCGCAGATAATCCAGCGGGGGGGGGGGTAATTCTGCCAGGATTAAAGGTGATGGGCAGCAACCTTAATTGTAGGAAGACGAAAGGTGCGGGCAATGACTGGGGTGGAAGTGAAGCAAGGCCAGGCGTGCAAAGTAATCTTCGTTGCCGTCCCACTCGTGGGTGACCGGGAGGGTTTTTTAATCCCCCAAGTGTAACCTCCTCCCAAACAAGGTTTCTCCTTTGAAGTTCAAACATGTAAAATGAGGAAAAGCAACCCCAAAGGCGTCCGTTTCTAGCATCCCGCAGTAAAGAAATGATCCAAACCAAGTTGTTCCAGTCTGGCCTTGTTTTATTTTCCTGCCCTCCTCCTGCGGAGTAAGATCCCCTGTGGTCAGGCTGTGGGTGCTGGGCCTCCGCTCCTGGCCACGAGGCTAGCCGGCCACAGCAACGCTGGCTGGACTGGGGCATCTTCTGATCCGGCGGCTGCCGTCCTGGGAACAAGCGCTTCCCGAACCCCGGCCTGACTCTTTGAGAAATGGCTGCTGTGCTCCGGAGGTCTCTCCGTCTTGCTTGTTTGTAGCTGAAGGTCACCGAAAGGATCCG